ACCCGTCAGCCAGCTAACAATTCCATGCTCGTTCTGGATCCCTTGAGCACCTGCGTCTTCCTCAGCCCCACTGCTGTTACGCTTTCTGCCAAAAACAGAAACAACAAAGCGCCCGCCAACTTTCACCCTCTCCGTACAAAGAGCGAAACAGGAACTGTAATGCCCTCCCTTTGCCCCCACGAAGGTGCAAACCCACATCCCGACCCGGCACCCAAGACGAGTTCAAAGGCCCTGGATGAGCCAGGAAACGTGTCTGTCAAAGGCCGCGAACCACATCCGACCCCGCAGCTACTTCTGCTCTTTTGTGGGGCCAAAACCCCTTCAGAAAACCCAAGAGCGATAATGTGGGTCTAGAGGTGAGAGGGAAAGAAGCTGTGATCTTGCTTTGGAGAGTAAATTGAATGTGGCTTTGTGCCTTCCATGAGCCGGTCTGCGTGTCGTGACTTTCCATGCTGGCTATTGGCCAAGGCAGGTCAGCTGTTCCATGAAGGCGCCCACGACGAGTCCACCAGGTGGCACCCCAGCGGACTCCGGGGGGAGCAAGGCTATGAAGCGGAGCTGTGACCTTCTTGTTGTGGCTGCTGGTCCCTTGAATTTTTCTCCCCCAGGCTGGGGAAGCTGGTTTGGCAGCTGGGATCCTGGGCTCCCACTGGCACGCCCAGCCCCCTGGAGCACACCTTGGAGAAGATGCGCGGGGGGGGGGGGTGTCGCCAGCATTTGTGATACTTCTGTACCCACAGAAATCTGCATGGAAACACACAACTCAACCCCCACAAAACTTCCTAGACCCCGGGAGCATGGGCTCTGTGGGAAGAGCGTCCTAGTGGGCAGAACACCTTGCAGTGCAGGCTCATGGTGGGCCAGGTTCCCATCCAGGCTGGTACAAACGCCACAGCAAGAAAGGTGGGGTGAGTCCAGGCCCCCACCCCCAAGCAGAGGCAGTGGTGCCTATGGACTCGCCCTGCCTTGGGCCGCCCGGTGCCTTGGGCCACCCCTCCTGGCCTCCTCCATGCTGCTCTCTGTGCACCAGCCCAGCTGCACCCGTCCCATGCCCTCCCCTTCCTCCCCTAGGGATGCCCGGCTGGGGGCCGCCCTTTCCAGCCGCCAATGCGTTTCCGCAGAGCTGTGAGACTTCGCGAGCTTCTCGCCTC